TTTTTTTTTTTTTTTTTTTTTTGAGACAGGGTTTCTCTCTGTAGCTTTGGAGCCTATCCTGGCACTCGCTCTGGAGACCAGGCTGGCCTCGAACTCACAGAGATCGGCCTGGCTCTGCCTCCCGAGTGCTGGGATTAAAGGCGTGTGCCACCACCGCCCAGCTAAATTAACCCCTTTTCTATTAATCTGTGTATCTCCACATGGCTGTGGCTTACCTAGGTGAAGCTCTTGGCAACCTCTCTCCCCTGTGACTACATGGCATCTACTCGACCCCACACACTACATCTATCCCTGCCTGGCTTTACTCTGTTAAGCCATTTTATTCACCAACCAATATAAGAGAAACACAAGAACTCATACCCTTTGTATAGTGGCCAGATTGACATTTTACCAACAGTATGAAGGTGTTGTGTCTTGTATTTGAAGTGTCCCTCACAGGCTCCCGTGCTTAAACACTTGCTCTCCCCGTTGGTTCGGTGAGGTTGGGGTGGTGGGGACTGCCCATCTTGGGAAAACAGACTGGCTGGTGGAAGCTTATTTATACTCATTCAGGAAGACTGCCTCCTATTCTGCACAACCAACTCTACATGCTGAGCCTACTAGCCCATGATGGGCCAGACTCTGAAAACATGACCAACTTTCCCACTCTTTCTTCTGTCTAGGATTTCATGATAGCAATGGAAAAAAGGAACTAAAGCAAAGGGGTCCCCTTTTCACACATCTTTCCTGGGCTTCTCTTGCTATCCTTCCCAATGTAGCCGTGCGTGGTTGTCTGTACTCACACATGGAATTTCAGTAGGGTTTCCACCTTCTGGATTCCCCACTTTACTCTTGACCTACTGCAGGAATGGTCACTGCCGGGCCCACTGCTGCACTGGGTTCTGAGATCTTTTTATCTGACAGGGGACCAATAGTCCCCAATGCCAACCAGTTCATCTGGTCTAGCTAGCGTGGTCAATCAGTTTAATTGGGATTGCTTACAGGAGGAATACAGGCAACTTACAGGAAGCCATAATACCCAGTTTCTGTCCCCACCAACTGTTTACGTTATCTTCAGGGAGAAGAGGGACCTTGTATGATGGATGCCTGTGTCCTCGGCTTTCACAAGGGATGCCACTGAGTCTGACTTTGGCAGGATTCATGCCAGCTTTAAGAAGACAATGGCACCCGTGTGCTCAAGGACAAGTTCTCCAACACCTACCATTTTATGGACTTAGAGCAGCAGGGAAAGAGAGCAAAACACAAAAGGGGCAAATGTTGCTGGGCCCACGTGTTCTCGAAAATAATGTTACAACTCACAATAGCAAAGATTCGGGATCAACCTAACTGTCCACCCGTGGAGGAAGGGACAAAGAAATACTGTCATAACAAGGGAGGAAATGCTACCATCTGTGACAGTATGAAGGGACTAAGGGAAACACAGCTGGCCCAAGTTAACTGCAGGACTTCTTGTGAAATGACATGGATGTCAGAGAAGCAGAAGTTGCCAGCGATTGGGGTTGGGGAAGTTACAGAAAAGTCACTGAAGCCACAACTTTGGATAGATGGATGTCCACAGCCAATTCTATCAATGGAAACAGCTAGATTTTTTTTTAGATGGTCTCACCACAGAAAAGCAGTAAATATGATGGATAAAGCAGAATTCTTGATTTTACTACAAAACATATTCATGTGGAGAAACAACATCCTCTACCCCATAACAGCAGTGTCATCCGAAACATTCCCAAGCTTCCTGCTCTGCCAC